GACGCGCTCTCCCCCGCTCTAGGGCATTCGGCGTCGCTCACATACGTGCACGGGAAGGACCGGCAAGTAGAAACGGCCCGCTGTTGCCCACGCCTACCATCAGCGATCCCCATAATTCCCGCAGATACCACTCACATCTACTTTCTCCCTTAAAACAAACGTACGGTTTTTAAAATCTCAAGCTCTCGAAAGGAAGCCAGACCCCAGTCCTCCCGGACACCATCACCTGCCTGAGCCCAGATGGCCTCTGCGCCTTGCACACCTGCGACCCCAACTCTGGGTCCTCCTGCCAGGGCAGAGCCGGGCCCGGACACCGCCAGGCGGCCACACCGGGCCTGCTCCTGCCCGGGACGCTGGACAACACGGGGTCCCGGGCCCGGGAGCACCATGCCCATCGGAGCCCGCGGGGTCCTGGCCAGCCCCTGCCCGCTGACCACCTGCTCCTCACCGTCTTTCTTTACCCCCGGTGCATGCAGTCGCAGTTCACCCCGCGCACCGATGCCGTGCAGCAAGTCCGACCGAGGAGTGGCTGCGCTCACCGACGGGAAACACATCTCCTCCCTCACAGCACGAGGCCAGGCTCCCGGAGGTGACAGGAGAGGCCCAGCAGGAGGCGTGTCCACCTGGCGCAGCTCTCCGACCCCCGCCTGCCCGTGTGCTGCAGGTGCACTGACCTGAGCCGGGGCCACACAGCTCCCGAGGGCCAGGCCACTCTGTCTGCTGGGGCCAGCGTGGAGACGACAGCCCTGCACAGCATCCGCAGCATCTCCTTACCTGCTGGGGCTAAAACTCTCAGGCTCCCGCCTGCCCTCATTTCGTGAAGCAGCTCAGCCATAGCAAGCCACCACAGACAGGGCAAGAGGGGACGCAGAGGCACTGCAGGGGACTCCGGCACTCAAGAGAAGCGGAAGAGCCCCTATGTTTGCTTCACGACCCCTGCCCGACACACTCCACAGGCAGCAGAGCAGGGAGCACCCAGCAGCAGCCCAGGCAGGAAACGTGCTCCTCACCTTTGGACGCCCGCACCCGCCTCTCCCGACAGTCAGACCCTGCGGGCAGGACCACCTCAGCACCTCCGGGGCCCTCCAGACCCCACCTTCCAGCTCAAGCCTGGCCCCTTTGTGCCCACGGTGGGCAGCCACACAAGCGGGTCTCCCAGAGCCTTCCAGCCCCACGGATGATGCTCCATCTTCCAGGAGAATCCCTACAGGCTTTAGCGGAGTCAGGGCTCTTCCTGCCCGGAGCAAACGCCTAAGGAGGCCTCCAACTGCCCTTCCTTCCTCAGCGAGAACCTGACCTCTCAGGGACAGGCCACCTAGGCTCACAGCCTTGAGGAAAACTTGGCCTCTCTGTGCCTTGATTTTCCCAGCTGTACAGTGGACACAACAAGGTGGTGACCCCAAGGCTGGTGTGGGGTGTGCAGGAGTCAATGGGGCATAGGAGGCTCTCACAGCACCCTCCTTCGTGGGGCTAAACTGACTCACAGCTGTACCTACTGTGCAAAGACCTTCACGGCACCTGGTGCCTGAGCATCCCCAGTTTCCCCATCACTGGGAGGAGAGATTTTGAGAGGGAAGAAGGGAGGGAAGGGGGGAGGGAGTCTAGGACACAGAGCAGATGCCCCCACTCAGCTCAGCCACTAAGTGTGCAGGATGGGAGGGACTCAGGTGCTGGAAGCTGGTTTTGGGAGCTGGGCTGGGGCAAGTCCAGAGGTGAGGCAGAGGCGGCTCCAAGAAGCGCCCAGGCCTTGAAGGGCAGGCGGGCCGGCCTTCCAGGAGCTGGGAGAGGCAGGGGCGGTGAGAGCGGTGAAGGTAGCCAGCACAAAGGGAAGCAGCGTGAGCTGCGTAAGCTGGGGCCGCGGCCCCAGGCAGCAGCCCCTGGCGCCCAGGACCAAGGGATGGCAGGGAGGGAGCCAGGCCTGAGTGAGACAGAGGAAAGGAGGTGACGACACAAACTGGCAAACGCTAAGTAAGCACCTACTGTGTGCTGGGCACCGTGCCCAGCCTGACACCCCATGGCTCACCACATTCCACCCGCCGCTTCCTGGGACCACGGACCAGATCCCACCGCGGCCCACACAGCAGAGAGGGGACCCGGCCCCCACCCTCCTGCTACACCTTTCTTCCTGAGACTAACGGGAACCCCGCCCCATCCCCAGCCCTCACATCCCTGAGCCCCGCAGGCAGGAGCTGCCGCCCTAGCACACTGCCCCCTTGAAGCTGCAGCAGGGGACGTGGAGTGAGGTGAGGCCATGGCCAAACCACATGGCTGACCAAAGTGCATGCAAGCGTCCGCCCCACCAGAGTGCGGAGGGGACACAGTGGGCCTTGGGATGGAGTGGGCCCTTGTGAAGCCGGACTCAATCACTACCAAATATTCAGGCAAAAAGGGCCAGTGGGTACCCCATACACACATCCTCACACACACCATGGTGTTGGGTACACACTCACACTCACCAAGTGACAGGCTGCAAGGGCTCTCACCTGTGACCAGCCAGCCATCTTCCCTCCCTCAAAGGCAGGATCACCTGCAAAGGCTGGGCAGGGGTGCGAACGCCTCTGTTTGAAACATAATTTGTCAGTAACTGAACCAACTTTAGCTCGAGAAATTTTAATCTTGAACGTTTATTCACCGTTGAGAGACAGACCACGGGCAGGAGAGGGGCAGAGAGAGAGGGACACAGAATCTGAAGCAGCTCCAGGATCTGTCAGCACAGAGCCTGATGCAGGGCTCGAACTCACAAACCTCAAGATTATGACCTGACCCAAAGTCGGATGCTCAACTGACTGAGCCACCCAGGTGCCCCCAAGAAATTAAGGTTTAAAAGAACAAAAATATTGTCTCCTCAAATCTTGATTTATTTACTTTTTTTTTTTTAAATTAAGGGCTCACTTATCCAAGTAAGATCCTGGCTAAACTGCATAAGCTGCTGAGAACGTGGGCCGGCACGGGTGTGCGTGAGCTGCTGCAAGCCTCCAGGCAGCGTCCTCGGTGCTCTGAGGCTCCTTCCTCTGGCCTCTGCCAGGACGTCAGCTGAACTGTTCCCTCACCTACAGCGGGGGACACTCCAGTTCAGGACAGCAAAGCCACGTGTCCAAGGCCAAGAGGCCAGTCCGTGCAGGAGCTGGGGATGACATCAGACTAAGGGAGCAGGCACCTGAAGAACACGTGTAGACACTGGCACACCACCTTCCTGACTCCCCTGGGATCCACCCTCCAGACACACCCCACAAAACGCAGCCAAAATTCTTGCGCTGAGCAAAACATCGGTGCCTGTGACAGTGAGGAGCTGACAACTGAAAGGCCCCTAACTGCGGACTAGTTCTTTCTGCTACAGTCTGTTCTGGTCCCTTCCTAAAGCGGGCATGACTGTGAGCTCATGAACGCAGACAGAAAGGGACTGTGCTTGCTGCCGGGGGTGGGGGGATGCCCACAAGCTGGGGGAGGGGAGGACCCGGAGACCAGAATGGGGCCAAAGGCGCTCCTGCCCCGTATTCTCTAAGCCACTCCATCCTGCCTCCCTGCATCATCGCAGGCGCATCCCCTCACCCCACACACCAAGATGGGGCCCCTGGAGGAGGGGCCATGTGCCACCCATCCTGCAGAGTCAGTGCGGTCAAACCTGGCTGGGAGAAAGCACCGGTACCTGCTAACAGATGACAGAGCCACAGGTCCCATTTGCTGCCATCTGTCCCTCCCCCTCCACATCAGTCAGGATACTAACCAAACACCTGCTCTGCCCAGCACCGATCTAGGTACCTGTGCGGACTAATTCATTCCCTCCTCCTCACTATCAGAAGGGGAACCTACTGGTCTCCCCAGCCAGGCAGGGAGGCTCTGAACCGTACAGGCACCCACCCACGAAGCAGAGATGCCAGGAAGCATCTCGTGGGCAGTCAGGGAAGCAGCAAGCATGGTGGGTCCCAAGACCAAGGACCAGAAAGCGTCGGGCGGGGAAGGGACACGCTGTTGGAGAAACCACCAGGCCACACACCTGACCATGCTCGGCCTTTGCAAGTATACAATTCACAACCTCTTCTGGGTGGCCACGGCTGAAGAAGGAGCTAAGCCCACGATCACAACACCAGCAATGAGCAGGGCCTGGATCCAAACCCTGCTGTTCTACCCGTAAAGCAACTTCTCCTTGCCCACCCCCACAACAGGGCTGAGAAGTCAGAGAGAACTGGGAGAGAAGTGGCTGTGTAAGTCACCCAGAACTACTTCACGGAAGGCCTGCCCAGCTCTTCCATGAGGCCGCAGGTAGCCTGAGGGGTCCCATCTCATCCCAGAGCGAAAATCAGAGAAGACACACGGCTTCTTCGATGACAAACACCCACAGACCTGTCACCGGACCCTGGGACGGTAGCCAAGGCAGCCAAAACAGGAAGTAGGCGGGAAATGCACTGCATCCAAGAGAAGTAATGGGGGCAGGGGGGAGGCAGTCGCGGAGCTGAGCCTAGGAGGGACAAGCGGAACCCCAGTTATCGCAGATAGCCACATTCAAGGGGAACCCCCGTCTGGGCCCCTTCTCGGCCTCAGGGCGCTCACGGAAAACGCGGAAACCCCCAGAGAGGAGACGGGCTCTGCCTGGAGGTGATGGAGGCCCAGGCCTGGCCTTTCCCAACCCGTTACCTGCATCCATCCCACGCCCCCATGCCCCTGCCCAGGAAACCACGCAGCGCAGAGGACACCACCCCACCGTGCCCGAGGCCCGCAATCAGAAGCAGGCAGGCTGGCGACTCGGCCCGACCCGCAGCCCCTGCCCGCGGAGGCCAGGACCCCCGCACGCGCGCTGTCCGCCGCTCCAGGGGCCGCCGCGGCTCCTCCCGGCGGGCGGCGCGCGACGACCCAGGGCGCCCAGGTGCCGGCCGGGGCCCTGCCCTACCCGGGGTCGGGACTCTGTTCCAGGGCCGGCCCGGCTGGGGTCAGAGATCCGCTCGGGGGGGCGGGGGGGCAGCCGGCCTGACTGGGGGTCGGGGGTCCCAGCCCTCGCTCTTCACCTCCTTGAGCTGCTCCATCTCGCCGCGGATGGCCTCGTAATCCACCTCGAGCTCCTCGAACTGCAGCTTGAGCTGGTGCTTCTCCTCCAGCACCGCCAGCCCGTACTCGGCCGCCTGGATCTTCTCGCGCGTGGTCTCGGCCAGCTCGTGCGAGAGCCGCTTCACCTCGGCGCGCAGCCACTCGGGCTGAGCCTCCATCACCAGCCGCGCGTACTCCTCCTCCTCCGACGGCGCCGACATGGTGGCCCGCGGCCGGCTCGCGCTGCTCCCAGTGAGGATCAGGCCGGACTCCGGTCCGCCGCTGCTGCCGTCGCCGCCGCCGCCGCCGCCGCCCAGCCCGACGGCGCCGCCGCCGCGCCGCCGCAGTGCGCTCCTTGCCGCGCGGGGCACTGTGGGTGCTGTAGTCCCTCCCGCGGCCACTACAAGGCCCGTCGTGCCCCGCGCTGAAGGACTGGGTCTGATTGGCCTGCGTCCCGCGCTGGGGCGGCCCCCTTCCAGCGCCGCGGCCTCCGTCTCCGCCTCCGCGGGTATTGTGGGAGGGGCCGTCGTCTCGCGCCCGCGCCCACTACAAGACCAGTCGTGCCCCGCCCCGCCGCCCCGCCGTGATAGGCCCTGGCCTAGCTTGGCAGGCCTCCCGCTGCCGTCACTTCCACCGCTGGCGCCAAGGGTATTGTGGGGGCTGTAGTCCCGCCCGCGCCCTACAGGGCGCTGCTGCCCCGCCTACCTGCGGGTGGCGATTGGCTCCCCGGCCCTGGTGGGAGAGAGACACTTAATGTCTTCCCACTTGTATGCCGTTTCATTTCTTTCAGCAGTGTTTTGCAATTTTCAGCCTACAAACCATTCCTTCCTTGGTTTACTCTTGTTCATTGCTACTGTATAGGAATGTATCTGAGTTTTGGTGTGTTGTTTTGGTATCCTATCCTGAATTTATTAGCTCAAATGGTTTCTTTGGGTGTTGGTGTGGGACCTAGGGTTTTCTCCAAAGAAGATTATGTCATCTGTAGACAAAGACAATTTTACTTTTTCCTGTCCAATTTAGATGCTTTTTATATCTTTTTCTTGTCTAATTGCTATGGCTGAGACTCTATATTGAATAGAACCTGAAGAGAGCAGGGGTCCTTGTCTTCTTCTGACTTTAGGAAGAAAGCTTTCAGTCTTTCCCTGTTAAGTATGATGTTCATGTGGGTTTTTCACATATGGCCTTTATCATGCTAAGGAAACTCCCTTCTATTCTGCATCAATTGAGATAATCGTGTGGGTTTTTCCCCCTTCAGTCTCTTAATGTGGTGTCTCGTATTGGTTGGTTATCATATGTTGAACCCCCCTTGCATCGTGGGAATAAATCCTATTTAGTCATGGCATATAATCCTTTCAATATGCAGCAGAATTTTGTTGACTAATATTTTGGTAAGGATCTTAGCATTAATATTCATAAGAAACAAATGGTTGTAAGGAAGGTATTTTAAGACGTATATGAAAATTACCCAACTACCCTGGTTAGAAAGATGATACTACTAAGTGGAACTGAACATGATATGAGGCAAAGTGGGGGGAAGAAACAGAAGAGAGGGTCCCTGTGCTCCCAATGCTGGAACTGGGCCTTGCACACTACCCACAGAAGTGGAAGAGAAGTGGAATCACTATGGTTTGAATGGTGTGGGGAATTATTTTTCTTTAATCATTTTCAAAAAGGAATTATTGTTAATTTTAGGTAGTGATTACTACATTAGAAGATGCCCTTTGGGATATAAATGCATCCAAAGTATTTACAGACGGAGCACAGGATGCTTTGAGTTTGTTTCAATCCAGAAGAAGGGACAATGGGGTTGATGAACAAAGCAGTTGTTTGTGGCAGTTGGAGTGTAGTGGGTGCACACGCTGCTCATTATGCTCTAGACTTCTGCATCTATTTTTAAATTACTTTAATAAAAATTTTCAAATGTTTTAATGTTGGAATGACATTATCTTCATTAAAAAAATCATTTCCCTGGGGCACCTAGGTGGCTCAGTTGTTAAGTGTCCAACTTCAGCTCAGGTCATGAGCTCAAGGTTTGTGAGTTCGAGCCTCGCTTCGAGCTCTGTGCTGACAGAGCCTGGAGCCTGCTTCAGATTCCATTTGGAATTATCACCCAACAGTCGAGATTGTCTGCAAGAACTTCTGCTTCTCCACAGTGCCCCTTTTGGCCTTTGAAGCTCTGACATACTCCTCAAATTGATCTATAGATTTTGCAAAATCCCTGTCAAAATTCCAGCTGGCTTGCTTGCTTGCTTTCTCTTTTTTGCCCCCAAAAATTGATAAATGGAGTAAAACTGAGAGTACAGAAAATACCCCACACTTTTATGAGGCCGTTGATTTTCAACAAATCCTTTTGGGACAACAAGATAGTCCACACACGACAGAATGAAGCTGGAACTCCATCTCACAGCAGATGTGGAATTAAATGAGTCAAACACCTAAATGGAAGAGCAAAGCTACGATACTCTTAGAAGAGAACATAAGTGGCTGGTTTCTTGGATATGACATGTGACACCACAAGCACATAGGAAAAATAAAAGGAAAAATAAAGTGGACTTCACCAAATTTACAATCTGTGGTCCAGAAGACAATATGAAGAACGGAAGGGAGAAAGTGTTTCAAATTACAAGGTCTGACATGCAAAACTGAGCGCAGGTGGACTTGGAAGTCCGCTTCCAGGACCCTGGCGGTAGGTGCCCTCTCCTGGCCGCATGGGCTCTGTGCCCGGCACCCGCCCTGGGCAGGACTGGGGCAGGGTTTTCAGGGGGCAGGAATAGGAGGGGTCCTGAGGGGGAGGGGGGAGGAGGAGAAATCTTCCTGCAGGAGCACTGCACTTTAATAAGTGTGCCACCAACACCGCCCATGTCCACGCCAGCTTTGGGCGCCAAAATGACATGCCACGAACTGGGCAGCTTACACGACAGACTTGTATTTCTGACCGTCTGAGAGGCTGTCGCAGATCAGGGTGCCAGCATGCTTGGGTTCTGGTGAGGCCTCTTCCTGGCTTGTAGGCGGCCAGCTTCTCCCTGTGTCCCCATGTTGCAGAGAGAGTGAGCTCCGGTGTCTCTTCTCCTTCTTCTTACAAAGGCACTAACCCTACTGGATGAGGGCCCCACCCTAGTAAGCTCATTTAACCTTTACCACCTCTGCTAGGCCCTACCTCTACTGTCACACCAGGGACTAGGATTTCGACATGTGAGTTTTAGGGGGGAACAAAAAGGCCCATGGCAACAGGAATAGTAGATATCATTATGTTATCAGGTGTTATTCTGGAAGATCTTTAACAACCTGCTTTAACAACCTGCTAAAAAAAATAAAGCTCTGATAAGGAACTCACCAAACTCCACACCCAAAAAACAAATAATCCAGTGAAGAAATGGGCAGAAGACATGAACAGACACTTCTCCAAAGAGGACATCCAGATGGCCAACAGACACATGAAACGATGCTCAGCATCCCTCCTCATCAGGGAAATACAAATCAAAACCACACTGAGTACCACCTCACGCCAATCAGAGTGGCTAAAATGAGCAAATCAGAGAACTCTAGATGCTGGCGAGGATGTGGAGAAACGGGCACCCTCCTACACTGTTGGTGGGAATGTAAACTGGTGTAGCCCCTCTGGAAAACAGTGTGGAGATTCCTCAAAAAATTAACAATAGAACTCCCCGATGACCCAGCAATAGCACTGCTAGGGATTTACCCAAGGGATACAGAAATGCTGATGCATAGGGGCACATGGACCCCAATGTTCACAGCAGCACTCTCAAGAATAGCCAAAACATGGAAAGAACCTAAGTGTCCATCAACAGACGAATGGATGAAGAAGATGTGGTTTATCTATACCATGGAATACTACATGGCAATGAGAAATAATGAAATCTGGCCATGTGTAGCAACATGGATGGACCTTGAGGGTGTTATGCTGAGCGAAATAAGTCAGGCAGAGAAAAACAGATACCATATGTTTGCACGTATAGGAGGATTAGGAGGAACTTAACTGAGGACCATGGGGGAGAAGAAGGGGAAAAATAGTGGGGGAGAGGGAGGGAGGGAGGCAAACCATGAGAAACTCTTGAATGCTGAGAACAAACTGAGGGCAGATGGGGTGGGGGGGAGGGGAAGGGGGGAGATGGGCATGGAGGAGGGCACTTGTGGGGATGAGCACTGGGTGTTATATGGAAACCAACTTGACAGTAAACTATTAAAAAATAAATAAAATAAAGCTCTGGGTTGTAGGATTTTGTGATTTCTTCACTATAAATACTACTCCCACGGCCAATTTCATGCTACTGATGGCAACTCTACTATGCGAGCAATCTTGGAAAGTGATGAGCAGTGGCAATGATTACATGGTGTTTCCCCACACAGATAAGTACACATAAATAACCTCAAGAGCACAGTAATAGTAAAATGCAGCAAAATAATTAGGAAGTGATGAGTCTTGTGAATTTAGTGTGCTTTTAATATAACCTGTTGTAAGTGGACATAACTGAAAATTTAATGGCGGCTAACTTTACTGACAGGTCCCAGTGTTCCTGGACATTTAATAGTGGCCTCCTCCAGCCGGTGTGCTCAGCATGCAGTGGCTCCGTGTGATGGGCCACATACCAGGCACTTTATTACTATTACTATTTCATAATAATTAGATATCATTTGTTGAGCATCTACTTTGTTCTAAGTTATCTTCAACTGCTAGCATTTATCTTATTAATCCTTACAAAAGCCTATGGACTAGCATTTAACCTCAATTTTCCTCAATCCTCAATTTTCAGATGAGGAAACTGAGGTACAGAGTTAGAATATTATGGCCACAGGTTTGGACCCTGAATGTTAGGAGGGGGGAAGGGGAGTCTGCCCTCTCACTTATCATCACCCGCTGCCACCTAAATTAGCCTTCATGTCTTAGCCCACTCCTGGGTTGTCCTGGACCCCCCAGCCAACATGACGTTTCTGACAGTATTTCCAAGGCCCTGTTAAACACGGCTCACTCTGTATGGGATCCCCATTTTTCCAGGCTCTCACCCAAACTGGTTGTGAAAATCGGGGGTATTCCCAGGCCACCAGGATTGGAACCCTTTCCCGTGTTGGAAGAATTCCCAATGTGTGAGTTGATGGAAGATAAGCTGATCTCTAGTACCAAAGCCTAAAGATGGGTCAGGCCCTCGTCTCCAGGATCCATGCAGCTGGAGTCTGAGCTTATGAGTGTAAATGTCTGAGATCCCATAACAAACAGCTCTTCCCACCACCGCTTTTTAATATACACACTGTTAAGAAACACCCACACTTACACACAGTATATAT